ATGATTCAACGACTATATTGTGTCTAACGGTCATATTGTGTCCAACAACTATATTGTGTCCAACGACTAGATTGTCTCAATCTCCTTATTGGATCTGGCCTTAAGCTAAACTGGATTGGGCCTTGTCCAACTGTGGGGCATGTGCCAGTCCAATCCAGAACAATGAGTAATATTAGAAAATAATAATTAGATTTTATTTGTTTTATTTAAATATAGAAATTGATAGGAAATTAGGATTAGTTTGTTGTACGTGAAAATTTGGCAAGGAGAAAGAGAAACCATGGTTTGGAAGTGGGAGAGCTAGGAGGAGACACCATTAGCAAAGCTTGAGAGATTATGTAATTCTAAGGTAAGGGGAAGTACTGTTCATGTTTGGGCACTTAGGCAAAGAAGACATAGAGGGTTCCTTACCCTCCTTGTTTAGGGTTTTCCCTAATTCCACCATTGTTGACGGTTAGAGCTTGAGATGAGTTTTTTCGTTAAAAATCTTTCATGATTTATGTGTTTGATGTTAATTTTGTATTCTGATTGCATATCAAATTTGTGTAAATTAATTTGATTAATTCTGAAATTTGATGTTCTTAATGGTTGTGTTGAAAGTGTTGAAGATGATGATGAGTTTTAATTAAATCGATGTAATATATGTTAATTTATTCTTATTTGATTGTTTTTAACACTTTATTAACATGTACGATTGAATTTCATGTGTTTGGGATCTATTGGGGTCGGGATAGGAGCTTTGATAAGGCTTAAATGGTGGAAATCGTGCACTTTGATGTTGTTGGTTTTGGGCTCTCGCGCTCAGCGTGGTCAAAGCCACACATAGAGAAATTTCTCTCAGCACGAGGAGAGCTCGCCCATCAAAATGACTGCTTTTAGTTTTCTGGTTTTTATGTGAATCCGCACTCAGCGAGCCTTGGCTGCGCTTAGCAAAAGTGACGATACAAAACTAAGTTGATTTCAAGTTATTTTGTGCAGTGCGATGTTTTGACGAGTAATTGGTATTGTTATGTACTGTTTAAGATTATTTGATTTTGTTTGGTGAATTTATGTACTTTATTGAAGTGGTAATTATTATCCATGAAAATGTTGAGTTGTGATCAATTGATTGATAATGAGTATTGTTGAGTTTCATGGTGAATGGCCATGAAAGAGTAATGGTTGAAATGTTGCGAGTCTGTTCAGATAGGGGACCATGACGAGCATTGAAAGAGTTTAGTTGTGAGTATGATTCATAGAAGGGACCATGACGAGCATTGATAGAGTTGAGTAACATTACATAGATTCATGAGGTATAGAATTTCCCAGCTCAAAGAGGGGACCTTAGGAAGGCCCAATTCAGATAGGGGACCGTGGCAGAATAAAAATCATTAACAAACCTCTAATCATCCAAAACTTGGTATCACATGCATAAAGAGTTGAGGAGTCGAGCATTGCATACACATTTGCATTAAGTATGAGTTAATTGTTTATATGAGTTGATGTGAGTGAGTAATTTGATTGTATAAGTTGATTGGATTGTTTTGTATGAGTTTATGTTATCAATATTGTCCTTGTAGTTGATATAAGTTGTGAGACTAATAACATGTTGCTTATCAATCCTTGTTGTTTATGCACATTATCTATATATGAATTTATTCTCACCGTTTCTGTTTGTTGTTGCGTTTGTGCTCCTCTAGGGTATAGATGATCTGGTACAAGAGTAAATGTTTGATGCTAGAGAATGACGTTATGCCTCTTTAGTTATTTATCTTTCAGGTCTTAGTGGAGTCACTATGATATGTAACACTAGGGATGAGTTGTTCTATGTTTTCTTTTGTTGCATATCTTATTTCTTTTTAGGAGTGTTGAACACCTTTCTCATCTATTGTTGTTGAGATTTATACGTTAAACTTATTGTTTTCCGCTAATTATTTTTTAAAGTTCTATTTGTGGTTATTTTATGTTATAGCGAAGCATGGGTGACACTTTATTTGTCGAGTTATATTTAATTATTTTATTAAATGTCGGTCGGGGAAATAGGGTGTTACATAGTGGTATCAGAGCATGTCGATCCATCCAGCCAGGTTTTGTGATTTTGTCTATTCCCTTTGTGAAACATTGTCGGTGCTCATTTATTTTTCTAACTGCTTTTTCGCAGGAGCGGGATTGAATCAAGTGGGGGAGAAGCTTATGCGTCTATGAGATGTTTCAGGTGTGGAGGGTTGGATCAATGTGTCATTAATTGCAAAAGTACAAGTGTTGTTGAAACGGTGTTGTTTCTTGAACTCGAAGAGAGCACATATTTGAGATTCATGTCTGCCAACTAGGTGGAGATGTATTTTAGGAAAAATGATCATATACTCATGATGTTTGCTTTCTTGAGGGTGAAGAGCCATGTTGTGGCTAATGATATGTCTTTAGTGTGTGAGTCTTCTGATGTTTTTTCGAAGGTATTTGTGACTTGCCTCCAGAGCGAAGAGTTGAGCTCGCCATAGAATTAGTACCTGGTACTAGTCCTGTGTCGATAACACCATATAGAATGTCGACTTTAGAGCCAAGTGAATTGAATAAGCAGTTAAAGGATCTACTTTAAAAAAAGTTGTTCGAGCTAGTGTGTCACCGTAAAGAGCGCTGGTATTGTTGAAAAGATGGTAGCATGATGGAAAGATGATAGCATGTCGCGCTAGGGATGTATAACCACTATCAGTTCCTATTAGATAGGAAACTAACTACTACTATTAAACAATATTATAATACAAGTAAATACACCTAAATTGTAGCAACTAGTTATAGCTATCTCTTAAAATACATCTCTTTCATCTAGTTCTTGAGGTCATTGAGAAATTACTCAAACACCTCAGTAGAATTCACCAACGAGCCCAACTTCTTTGTGATAATCCTTGATCTACATTTTACTTTAATTTTAATCCTTTAGTTTGAATTTGTATTCTCATTCAAATTCTTTTCTTTTCAACAAAAACTTTACATTCAATACAATTTATTTGTTGTCATTTTAAAGCTTTATTTAAATTCAAGTCCAAGTCCATTTAAGTTTCATGTCTTTCTATTTGGGCATTTACATTATTCTTTATATTTTATCTTTGATATTGCACTCATCGTCTATTAAAATCTTTTGCAATACCTTGCATCTAATTTTTTTAGGCAAAACAATAGTCAAACCATACACCCTCGCGCGTATTCAGATCTGTCGCAGCGTGTTCAAAACAATATTCAAGTCCATTTAAATTTCATATTCAAATTGATTTGATAAAATCAAAAGAGTAACCCATTTAATCCACAATATTGGGCTTTTGTATTCTCACTCGGCCTTACGATAACGGAATATATAACAACATGTTCCGTTATCGCGTTACGATAACGGAATATTATTTTGCCTATTTTTTTTAGGCAAAACAATATTCAAACCATACACCCTCGCGCGTATTCAGATTTGTCGCAGCGTGTTCAAAATAATATTCAAGTCCATTTAAGTTTCATATTCAAATTGATTTGATAAAATCAAAAGAGTAACCCATTTAACCCACAATATTGGGCTTTTGTATTCTCACTCGGCCTTACGATAACGGAATATATAATAACATGTTCCGTTATCGCGTTACGATAACGGAATATTGTTTTGCCTATTTTTTTTAGGCAAAACAATATTCAAACCATACACAATATATAACTACATGCAACAGCCGTTAAAATTCATCCCAAAAAATAAAATTTGCTTTCATTGAGAGTTGAACTCAAGACCTCCCGCTTACTAAACGGGTGCTCTAACCAACTGAGCTATGAAAGCTTGATGTTTATGTACTTCAAACTATTTAATAAATCACAAAAAAACCAGGTTACAAGTTGCAACATTGAAGCTAAGAACTAGGTATTAATTTTACTTGTTTTGCCCGTGAATTATATTCTAGTTTCTTATATGTACATAGTATAATTATAAATATATTTTCTCATAGAAGATTTATATAAAAGTTTCAATCAATGTTCTAGATTCCAAGTTGTACGCATATATTATATGTCGATTGTTAATTTCTCTTTTAACTGAAAAACATTTAACTTAATCTTAACATGTTTATTTTTCCAGAACTTTTCCCATTTGTTTGTAGTTTTTGATTGAATATAATATTTTGATAACTAAAATCATGTTTTCATTAATTAAAATGATAAATGATGTTTGTGGTTAGCAAAACTAACTATGAGAGGTAACCAAAAAAAAATGAGGGAGGGGGCAAAAAAATTATCAAAATTAATTATTAGAGAAATAAATCCTTTTTTAAACCTTTTTTTATCGAAAATAACTCATTTGTTTTTTTCTCTTTCTTGGTCCTAACCTTCTCCTATTCACATAATTATATTGGATTCCTTTGGCAAATTTTATGATTAATTTTTGCGAATGTTTTATTTTCTTGTGGAACAATTAGTCTTATACCGTCCAACTTCTTACTTTTGAGCAAATATAGATATTTGACCCATTACTCTTAATTTAAGGGTTAAAATGATGCTTAAAAATATAAGAAGCTGTAAAGTTCCAAAGTGTCTAAAAATACATACTGCAGATCACAGAATCAAGTTTTCATGAAAAACTGTTGAGCTTTAAGTTTCCAAATTTGTTTACAAGTGGGTAGTAAAATCCTGTAGAAAGATTGCATCTTACCAAAAGGATGTGTATCAATTGCATTAGACAAACTGTAACAAATGAAATGTGTACAACTTAGGTTTTTTTCGTCATCATCCTAAGGTAACTGACATAAAAGAAGCAGAAAATCTTGGTCAAAGGCTTTTTTGCATTCTGTGTACTGTAATCATAAGCAGGTCAATTCGAATATGAAATGTGAGTAATTTTCAATAGCTTTCCTTCCCTCCAGAATCCCCCCCCCCCCCTAGTTAAGGAACAACCCTGCTTGCTTATATTAGGAAAAGACAAGCAATTGTGGCGTTTATGTATACAGATATTCACTTAATGAACAACAGAAACCGGGCAGGGACTAACATATGCTATGCTGCTATCTCAAATATGTATAATGTTTCCTAAAATAATTGTAATCAGGATGAGTAACTTGCAATAGCCTAAGCCAATCTTCAGCAGCTTGTGCCAAAGAATTGGCTTTCTGAGATTCAGAAACTCCGTCCGGATCCCAGATAGAAATTCTGAACTTGTGATGTGAAAGCCCAAATATTGGTAATGATAGCTTGGATATGTCCCTACCTCTTGAATAATGGATGTTAGGCGGTTCTGTATTTGAACCTGATTCAAAGATCAAAATGTTATGGTTGAACCCTATTTACAACGATTTTGAAGGCATGTAAATTAAACAAAAGACAGCAAGACATACCCTGTAAAACTGTTGACAAGGAATGGTAAGTCAAAAAGCAGGCATTCAGGCTCTGCAGTGTTGGACCGGTAGGTATTCTATATATTGGATACCTTCATGGCAACAAATAATTTAGAACTAGTAATTGTTGTGTGCATTATTAAAAAAAAAAAAACAATAACCTGATGGACAAGAAGTTGAAAATGACATACCAAGCCAGTGAAACCCAACTCGCAGGCGAAAGATCACAGCTCCAGTATGTCTTCAGCTCTGGAAATTGACTTGCAAGACTAGAAATCTGAGTCAAGCCATGTGAATTTGTGTTAGGTTAGAAAGCAATATAGTCTCAACGTTCAAGTCAATCAAAGGACAACATCTTGCCTTATCTGCTATTGGCTCACGATTATAAGGTGTCTCGTGCTCAAAGTATTGAAATATAAGCTGACCCGGAGTGTTGCAGCTCTCAGTCCCTTCACTTGGTGAACCAGGTTTACTTGGTGAACCAGATTTACTTGGTGAACCAGATTTACTTGGTGAGTCAGATTTACTTGGTGAACCAGATATACTTGGTGAACCAGGTTTACTTGGTGAACCAGATTTACTTGGTGAACCAGATTTACTTGGTGAGTCAGATTTACTTGGTGAACCAGATATACTTGGTGAACCAGATTTACTTGGTGAGTCAGATTTACTTGGTGAACCAGATTTACTTGGTGAACCAGATTTACTTGGTGAGTCAGATTTACTTGGTGAACCAGATATACTTGGTGAAGCAGATTTACTTGGTGAACCAGATTTACTTGGTGAGTCAGATTTACTTGGTGAACCAGATATACTTGGTGAACCAGATTTACTTGGTGAGTCAGATTTACTTGGTGAACCAGATTTACTTGGTGAACCAGATTTACTTGGTGAACCAGATTTACTTGGTGAGCCAGATTTACTTGGTGAACCAGATATACTTGGTGAACCAGATATACTTGGTGAGTCAGATTTACTTGGTGAACCAGATTTACTTGGTGAACCAGATTTACTTGGTGAACCAGATTTACTTGGTGAGTCAGATTTACTTGGTGAGTCAGATATACTTGGTGAACCAGATATACTTGGTGAACCAGATTTACTTGGTGAACCAGATTTACTTGGTGAACCAGATTTACTTGGTGAACCAGGTTTACTTGGTGAACCAGATTTACTTGGTGAACCAGGTTTACTTGGTGAACCAGATTTACTTGGTGAACCAGGTTTACTTGGTGAACCAGGTTTACTTGGTGAACCAGGTTTACTTGGTGAACCAGGTTTACTTAGTGAGACCCTTTCGAAAGCATGATTGCATGCATCCAATGCATTAAGATGATTCCTACTACTGTGATTGGTCTTTGGTCCTCTTTCATGACAGTGGCCACCGCTACTATCGCTGCTTGTCTCTCTAGCTGATTCAGAGTCACTTTCTTGACTGGATTTCCTGGAATATGGTGGAAATGTAAATGATATTATGTTCATCAGTCTTTGGTTCACAACTAAAATGGTAAGTCAATACATTTGTTTCAAAATAAGATTAAACATTATTACACTAGAAAGGTAAAACAGTTAGATTGAACCAATTTAATAGCACATGGCAAAAGAGGTGAGTTTCAGTAGTTACTTTCTGATTGTTCCCATTCCAGATTCCATATATTTCACATCCCTCACGTGTAAATGTGCAACTGTTTAGATATGTATTAGGTTTAAATTATGATTAGGTTTGTTGGGTTTATTATCATTCTTTTTCAAAAAATGTTAAAAGATTTCTCTATATTTTTTTGAAATTTTCTTTTTTAGAAGTCATCCCTACCCCTCCCTCTCCTCCTAACTCCCAAACAGAGACTAAAAATTGAGAAAATCATAGTAGTTTTCTCTTTTCAAGCAGTGTTGTCGATGGCGGAGAGCCAAAATCCCGCCATGCCGGCCGCTTTGCGGCAGCGTTATTGTGGATTATGGCGGAAAAACCCGCAATAGCGGACGATATTTACCATTGCGGCAAGCCCAAAAACTGTATATCGGCCATGGCACCGTAATTTGATAACACTGCTCTCAAGCAATTCAAATCATCTAATAGCAACCAGCTTACCATTGTAGACTAGATAACCTGATATACACATGTTGATCTAGGAAATAAACCATGAAAGATAATGAATACTGGACAGTAAGGCAGGTGAGTTCTTAAGCTACTTAGTCTTTCCTCCATCCCACTTATATGTTTTCCTTCAACATGCAGTTATTCTTATTCAGACAATGGTTTCTATATTCTGCCAAAGGTGTCTCCATAGCACAAATAATGAGCAACTTTTGGGGAAAACCCTAGTCCCACATTGATAATACATAAGGCATGAAGAGAGTTAGGTGCCTCCATAGCACAAATAATGAGCAACTTGGGGGGAAAACCCTAGTCCCACATTGATAATAGATAAGGCATGAAGAGAGCTTATAATGAATGGACACCTACCTTATAAGCTGATTTTGTAAGGATGGGTTTAATCCAATCCAAAACCTAAGATGGTAGCAAAGCATATCCTCATTTTTATATATTTTTATTTAGAATAGCCACCCTCACAAAAGCAAGAATTACCAGGTCAAATTTTAAAAATGAGCAACGAGGGCTGACATGGGAGACTATTGGTTGATTCTTTGTCAAAAGCAAACGTTTGTTTAAGGTCCATCTGTTTTTTTCAGGTTAAATAATCAAATTTCTTAAATATGTGCCTATTTTGGAAGGCTTGGTTACAGACAGCATCAGAAACAACATTCATGTGCAAACCAACATAAACTTTTAAACTTTAGAGTGATGACTATTATCTATCACATTGATATACAGTATGTTTAAATCCGCAGAAGTTATGCTTCAAGCTACCAGATAGAGTAATATTGTAAATAAGTGATGATTAATACTAGCATATCAGGGTTATCGATAACATATGGCTGTCCATGACGGAGAGCCAAATTCCCGCCATACCGACTGCCTTGTGGCGCCATCATAGCGGATTATGGCGGAAAAACCAACAATGTCGGCCAATATTTACCATTGCGCCACACAAAAAAACCACCATTGATATCCACAATAACGCCGCCATGGCAGGTATTTGATAACACTGTAGCATATGTATGTGTATCCTTCTTTTAATGTTTTGCCTAGCACCAAAGAGCAATATGTAAAACCCTTCCGTTCCTAGCATTGTCATCAATAATGTGTCCGTGAAAAATAACAGAATGAAAAAAAATCCACTATGTGAAATAGTGGACAGTGATGCAGGCGCGCAAATAGAGCAAGACGCATAGTAGTTGAAATAAATCAATTACATATAAAAAGGTATGCTGCATACAAAAGACATGATATAAACTCAAAAGCTCAATTGGTAAAGAGAATATACTGATAACTCATAATTTTAACTAGTGATTACTGAAACCAATATAATATCATATACTCTCCGAATCCAAGGTCTCACTAGAAATGGAAAAACTTATTGAAAAGCAAAGGAGGCAGCGGTCAACTTACGTATTGAGAGGCTTATTAGGGAGATTATAGGAGTAACAATACTCCGACCCTTCTATTTTCTATTCTATAAATAGGCCGTGTGCAGCTTACATGCTGCCTCTTGAATTTTATTCTATTTCATTTTCAAGAAAAAGAAACCTGAAACTCTCTGTTGCTACAACCGCTAACGCCCTCATAGTGAAACTACAATAGCTTTGCAATTTTCAATATCTGCTAATATGTAGCGCCGTCGCGCCTCAATTTGATAAGACTGGTTGTCAATTACGCGTTACCGATACATCAACGCATCATCATGCAGAATAAGAAGCAAGGTACACTTATGCAAGTAGTCATAAGAAAAGCAAATAGTAAAATAGAATTGAAGGCAATTTGGTCAATCATTCGAGAACAACATTTAGAAAACCATGTTCCATTTCAAGGCAAGCATACTAACCTTAACCGCATGGAAGGTTTCGAAGGATCAATATAAAGCTGAATGGCAGACAAAGAGACATTATAATACTGTGTCACAGATTCATTCCCATTCAACACCAAAGGAACGCCCGCCCCATATGCACTCCATTCCTTAAAAGATTCCCACAAATCTCCAAGTACATAGTACGGAAGTAAATCCTCCTCCTTAGTTTTCCATCTTCTTGAACTCTGTTCATTCCCACACAAGACAACAACAAATGCCACCCAAATAAGCCAAAATGTGCTTTGTTAACAAACTAAATAACCGATGAAACCCTTAAAAACTAGAACTTTATACTATCTTGATTTTGCAACTAAAAACTAGAACTTTATACTATCTTGATTTTGCAACTGCCAAATTCAAGAATCAAACATTCACTAATTCATTTACGATACTTGAATTGAACTCCTAGAAAGAAAAAATAAAGCGTAATTGAATCGAATTGAATGAAGGTGATGAGTGAAACCTTTGGAAGATATTGTGCGGGAACATTGGGCGTAACGTACTTCAAAAATCGATCCAAATTAGACATATCAGATGTGGCACGCGAAGAAATCGAGCAATCGGAAGAAGAACCGGGTCTATTCTCTGAGGAAGTTCTTGAAAGCGAAGACCTTTGCTGTTCTTGTTTTTCTCTGTATTTACGAAGCGGTGGTGGACTGTAGAAACGATTACCACGGACATGTCGTTTACGGTTGGGGCTTCCACCGGAGATGGCAGCGCCACCGTTGGCCGACATTGAGAAAGTGGTTGTGATAATTAACGATTTTTGTTAAAACGACGACGTTTGGGTAGGTTAAGTGTATAAAGAGAGGATTGAGAAAGTGAAGTGTGAAGAAGGGTTTACAATCTTCGCTGAGGTTTTTAACATCGATTTAGGACTTTTGCTTCTACTTGAAATAGGAGATGACGGTGATTCTATCTTTGATGCTAGAGTAGAGATTAGTGTAATGATCATTCTTAATCGAAATATTTAATTAACTAATATTTAAGTAACTAATATTTTGTCATTTTATTAATGGATAAGTCTCTTTATTAGTTAAGCTTATAATTGGACATGCTATTGGTTTGTATGGTTCAAAATTCGAATTTGCGATATTTCATTTGTATTTGTGAAATATAATAGAGGTTAACGACATTCGACTAATGTGTAGTTATTAAAAGACTATATATTAAGGTTTTTTAAAATTAGTGTTTATATCTTTAAGGTTTAAGGTTCGAGTATTTATGGAGTATTTTTTTAGGTAGGATCAGAAGGAGAGAAACAGGTTGTCTCCTAGTTTTCTTATAAAGGCGTGGAAATAAGGGAAGATTGGTTCTTTCTTAATTCATGGAGAAGTCGTTTTCTCCTTTGATTGCAACATCCTCAAAATATTACTCCATTAATACCTCACAAGTCACATGTGAATAAAGGATAAAACATGGGTCTTGAATCGGACGGGGTGACTCAGGCTCAGTCAGGCAACCTAGTGTACGCCTGCCAAGTGTTACTATAATTGGTTTGGAATATTTTATTAGGAGTTGTTTCCTTTTGGACCCAATAAGATTCTTTTAGTGCACAATCTCTCAAGCATAAGACCTGAAAGGTGATAACTCAATTTAATATCGAGATTTTTGACTCATTATGTGTATTTTTGTCCGTGTTTTATCGAGTCTTTATTGTTATTTTGTCGCACTTTTATTTTATTTTTGTTGTTTTCAAGAATCAGTGAAAATCATGGGAGAATCTGGAAATCGAAGCCTTTGGAAAAGATCTGCACAAAAAGTAGCAGATTTTAGTGATTCTGCTGAGATGGTGTTCGCCATCGCTTGATGGTGTTCGCCATCACTTATTTGGTCGCCTTAAGCAATGAAGCAAGCATGGCGCTCGCCATGGCCCTTACGACGATGGTCGTACAGTCCCAACAACAATTTCTAATTCAGAAGCAGTTTTAGAGCAGTTATCAACAATTCTAATTCCCTCCACTACTTTGTTTCGAATTCCTCATTGTTGTAACTGATTGTTGGCCTATAAATACAAGGTCTTTGGTAGTTTTTAAAGAGAATTCGACTGCGGAAGCGCTGGTGTTTTTCAGTTTGAATTCTAGGCATTCTTAGACAGTTTTAGAAGCAATAATTACTTACATAGAGGAATTACTGCAATTCTGTATTTTTTATTGTATACTAAATATTTTGAAGTTAATCGAAGTTCGCTGCCATTTTATTTCAATTGTCAGTTTCTACAGGTTTTTTTTTTTTTTTTACTTCGAATTGCGCTGTTATTACTAATTCTGCCTTAAATTGTTTAGTATGTTAGTAGAATTAAATGCATGTTTTAGTATCTTAAAAGTAATGATAATTATGTTCGGCTAAATCTTGTTGAGTTCGTCATTGAGGACCGTCGTTACCGGCAGGGCTCGGTAGTGAACTTAGTGCGAAATTGCGGTTTTTAAGCCATTTCGGTTGTAGTTTCTAGCTGTAATTTAGGTAACTTTGTCGTGAGAGCGAGAAGTTGCTTACCATTGCTTTGTCACGAGAGTGAGAAACATATTAAGGCTTGAGTTGAGATTCGCGAGAGCGTGGGGAGCGAGCCAGATAGTAGAAACTAGGCATCCCGTCTAAAAACAGCGAGAGGGCTTTAGACGTTGTTTAGGATATTTTGGACTTCCAAAAAGTGTTCTTAATTACCGGGAGAGCGAGAGCAAAATCTTGGGGTTCAGCAACGCGACTTTTGTCAAAACCGCGAGAGCGTGAGGCGGAGCCTTTGTGTCATTGTATTCTATGAAATAGGCATCTGACCGTAATTAGTACCTGTTTCCTACAAGTCCCTTAGGAGCGCGAAAATATCATGCCGGACTCGTTTTATTATTTAGTTCAGTTTCTAGTAATTCAGCCCCACTTCTAGTTTCGATCCTTTGTTAACCATTAACCTTAGCTTTGCACAGCAACCATAGATCGCAATAGTTTGATTATATGCCCCTGTGGGTTCGACAACCTTTTTAAGACTACACGTTCAACTGTATGCTTGCAGATTAATCCGTCAAGTATCGGACGGTCGCGATCAAGTTTTTGGCACCGTTGCCGGGGACTAGATTTAGTCAATATTGTGAATCTTTTGTCTCGTAATATACACTAAGACAACTTTTATTTTTGTTTTCTTTCTAATTTTCGAGTGTATGCCAAGGTCTCGCTCTTAAGGCGAAGATTTAGAACAGCCAATTGATGAAATCGAGCGTTTTCTTAATTTAAGACGCGGAATAAACGAATTATGTATTGAATATAACCTTCCACATCCTATCGTGCTTTGCTCAGATGCAGAGACCGAAACTGATCAGTAAAATAACAAGTGTACAATGTTGCCAATGTAGTAATAAGGGGGATTTCCCCGAATGTCGATCTCGAGGACTGCATAGAAAATACAAGCTCTAAAATAATTCAGTTGAACAAAAGCACTTGGGGTTTTAAAATTGTTTTGTTTAATTGTAAAAATATTTGCAAGTAAAAGAGGGAAATTGACTAAGTGATTTTAAAATATATGAGTAACATGCTAGGGGAAGTGTATGATTTGACTCAGTAACAACTCTGAATTAACACTGCAATGACTTATTGTAACTAACTAATTACCGATTTTTTAGAATGTTTACTCCTAAGTCCTTAGTGAGAAAACCTTTAATGATCTTCCCTAATTCCTATGTCCATATAGAATTGTAAATGAGATTAAGCAATCAATTATCAAGAATATTCTGGTTCCTATAGGGTATCCCTAGTCCTAGGTGATATTTACTACAGAATGATCAAAAGAAAAGCCTTAACAACGACGGTTCAGCCTAATCGTTAATCGTAAATCAAACCCTGTTGATCTGATAGGGCAAGCATTAAGAGTAGATAGAGATCAAATCAATTATGAAAACAAAGGAAATGTCATTGCAATATTAACATCAGAGTCATTACATATTCAAATCAGAGACACCCCTAGCATTGGGGGGTTTATCTACTCATAATATTCGAAGAAAATACAAAGTAAAAACTAGACATTACAAGATAATAAGATTCTTTGATCTTCAATTGCTTCCGCTCATGAAAACCTTCAGTTTCCCAATCACCTTGATCTCTCCAATCTTGATTGTGTAATTCTTTTCTAGCCAAAAAAGTCCTTTTTTCCTTCCCAAAATTTGTCTTAAATACTCCCATGTCCAACACAGTAATAGGAAAAAACCCAAAATACCCTTAGGGATCACAAAGGCCCAAAAAATAAGAAATTTGGAAGATGAATCGCTTCAGCCAACACGGGTCGTGTCAGCTGACACGGGCGGCCGTGTTGGCCCCTGGATATCTGATAACAAAATGCATTCTCCAGACTTGCTGACACGGGTACCTGTGTCAGCCCACTGTCTAAAACTCTATTTTCTTTCTCTTGGTACCCTTTTGACACGGGTGGTTGTGTCAGGCCACTGTTTCCCTTCAAAAACTCTTTTGAATTCCTGCTGTTTTTCCCGGTTTTTGCTCTGGTTCTTCTTGATTGCTTACTTGAACCTAAAAATAATGGAAATACCAAACCAACACATAAAATGTGATAAAAGGAAATAAAATGCAACTAAACACATAAGACGATTAACTAAAACTCATGGTAAAATAACGTATAAAAATCACTGATCAAACTCCTCCAAAGTTAAACCATTGCTTGACCTCAAGCGACAAGCTTGGATAAATACTTTTCAGATCAAACAGTATATATCAAATAAAAGACTTGTGAAGGTAAGGTGTGTCGATACTCATACGCGAGCCTTTGTTCCGATCGGCCAAAACTAGTTCTCTTGGTAATCGTCCATTAACAAAGGTATTACACAAACACATACAGCAGTAAAACCACCTACCTAAATCCCCCTTTTGGTCACCTATCCAACTATGCTTTGGGCTTAAGTTCTTTCTTCGATTTTCTACCCCTTTCATTCGGATAATCATATTAAGGCACTTTTGATCGCTCTTCCTCACATGTATAAGATTGGATCGAGACTTTTTCGAGGCACCTTTATTATTTTTTATCGCGCATTTGCGTTTATTAATCCATTTTGGAATGACTATAGAGATTCAACTGTCGTTAGGTTAAGTAACCGGGTGAGGGTTACCCAACTTAGAAGGACCAATTATCTTTACCGTCTATATTCATCATTTTTTGGGGTGCCATAAGTCATTCTCTCAATCAACTTTATACTTGCGATTCTTGTTAATCGTGTCAGACCATTAGTATGAACTAATCAGGGAATACTTTTCAAATCCAAGTACTATGACACAGATCTACACGTTGGACTCGTTTCCTTACTTCGGGGAATCTAGGGTGTTCAGGTTATACCTCAATTTTCAAACTTTCCCAAATTCCCTAGTTTCAACTTTTCTTCCCTCAAACTCTATATACTTTTCTGACTCCTTCACACCTCACAGTATTCACAAGAAAATTTTTTATGGTCCTCATTCGGGGAGAGCTCAAAGTGATTTTTCAACGAAAGGACCCAAACACAATTACAAAGTACTTAAAATGAAAATTCAAAATAGTAAAGACTCTCCCAAACTTGAACTAAACATTGTCCTCAATGTTTTAGAATAGGAGTGAGAGAGATGTACTCATAGAGATCCTTACTGAGAAGTTGGAGGGTAATGCAACACTCTATATTGTAAGGTCTCATTTATTACCTGTAAACAAAACAAAATAAAAACAAAAAGAAAATGCTTAATCATTAAAAACATGGGTTGCCTCCCACGCAA